TTTTAGTGTACCTACACTTTCATTTTGGGTTTTTTTAGAATTTATGTACTTAAAAAATGCTTTAGGGTTGGTTTTGCTCTCTTCAGCTATCATTATTTCATTTTGAAGTTTAGCAAGTCTAATTGCCTTTTTGCACGCATTATTTGCATCCTTATATCTTTTATAAGATGCATCTGATTTGTTCGATTTAAATGCTTTAAATGCCCTTCTCTTAGTTGTAATCTCTTGTTTTACTTCTCTACTAAGCCATGTTGGTTTTAATTTGTTTCTTTTATATTTATTTCCCAATGGTACATACTGAGAAATGTACCTTTGTAATATTTGTTGGAAGATGATACATTTATCCTCAGTGTTCTTTTCACTAAAGAGTTTATGCCAGTCAATATATTGTAAAGCTTCCCTTAACTTATTGAAATTGGCCTTTTTAAAATTATATGTTTTAGTATACCCCAAAGATAGCTGGAAAAGAGGGAGAAAACAAATGGAAAGGAAGTAAAAAAAAAAAAAAACATTTTACTTACTATACCTTCCGGCTACTGTTTTAGTGAGAAAATCACCCTGCACAGTAAACCATGTTTTATTCCTTAACACTTTATTGAATTACTTTGGATTCAATGAAGTACTTGAATATTGCATTTTTATTGGTAATTCCTGAACAAAATAGTTGTCAATTAGACATGTTTTGGTTACAGTCTAAGAATTTACAAAGCCTATAAAGTATCAAGACTGCAGGATCTATTTAGCAGACAACCCTGGGAAGTGAAAATTTCGTTTTTTGTGAACGTCAGTATTACCAAGAAAAAATGAGGCTTCACATATCATTTTGTGTGAACGCCATTAGATAGCATATATACAAGAATGGAAATTGCCATGAGAATTTTCTGTTGGTGCTTAAAAACATTAACTTAAAAACACTGGGGGGATTTATCAAAATGCTTTATTTTTGGTTTATAATGTGTTCATATTTGTTAAAATGTTCTACAAATGGTCCAAAAAGTGTCGTAATTTCTCTATGGAAATAACGTTATTGCATCTTTTGTGATAACCAAACCCTTAGATGGCAAATGCCTTTAACAATTATTGCTAAGCTAAAAAATTACACACGTTCTAAAACTACAAATGTGGATCAGGACCCACTAAATTTACAAAGACCCAAAATACCCAAAATAGAGGAGTTACATTTTAGACCTGTACCTATTAGTGTCATTAGGAAACAATAATCTAAAAATGAAAAACCAGTCTGGACCAGATAAAATCCCAGCAATGCTGTTGAAGCTCAGTTCGTGGACACTTGCTAACAAATCCTTGGTGTCTGGATATACACCTAAACTTAGTAAGACTGCAAGAGTAGCATTTATACATAACAGTGGTGACATTACTTTGTTTTCTATTGCCCAATAGCATTGCTCCATGTATTGTCAAAAATCTTGGACAAATGTGTCCATACGCAACTTTGTGAGTATTACCAAATAATCAAACTATCTGACCCCTGATCAATCAGGCTTCCTCCCGAATCACTCAACTACAACTGCCCTCTTAAAAGTTTGCAATGACATCCAAACTGGCATGGAACAAAGATCTAACTGGAGCTATTGTCATTGATTTTACAAAAGTGTCGAAGATTGCCTACCCTGGCCCTAGGCTCTGCATAATGAGGCGTTTTTAAGTACCAAGTTTGGTAGTAGGTCTTTTTGTGATACCCCTGCTGTAGCAATTTACTGGTGATTCCTAAAACTCAAAATTATACCAAGAGCTGAAACACACTTATGCATAAGTCATAATATGCATCTACAGTGGTTTCCATTGCTACAGTATAATTTATATTTCAGGAACTTACAAAGAAGACTAAAAGTTGCCAACCTAAAAAATAGTAGTGATAACTGACGAGTATTACTTAAAAAATAAATAACATATTTAATCTCTTTAAATGCAGTAAAAAATAACGTCTGTCAGTGTGTGCATATCTGTATGTTTGTTAGTGTATGTGTGTCTATCTGTATGTCTGTGAGTGAGTGTGTGTGTGTATGCCTGTCAGTGTGTGTGTATCTGTATGTCTGTCAGTGTGTGTATATCAGTATCTCTGTCAGTGTATGTGACAGACATACGTATGCCTTTCAGTGTGTGGGTCTGTGTGTGTGTGTGTGTGTATCTGTATGTCAGTCTGTGTATGTCTGTCAGTGTGTGTCTTTATCCCTTTTCCCACAACCAGAAACCCTCTCAACTTTTAATCCTCTTAACACGAAACAACCTATGTCAACTAACAGTGATGTTAATTCCTCTCTAAACTGACACCCTCTTGACTCATAGAAACATAGAAACATAGAATGTGACGGCAGATAAGAACCATTCGGCCCATCTAGTCTGCCCAATTTTCTAAATACTTTCATTAGTCCCTAGTCTTATCTTATAGTTAGGATAGTCTTATGCCTATCCCACGCATGCTTAAACTCCTTTACTGTGTTAACCTCTACCACTTCAGCTGGAAGGCTATTCCATGCATCCACTACCCTCTCAGTAAAGTAATACTTCCTGATATTATTTTTAAACCTTTGTCCCTCTAATTTAAGACTATGTCCTCTTGTTGTGGTAGTTTTTCTTCTTTTAAATATAGTCTCCTCCTTTACTGTGTTGATTCCCTTTATATATTCTCTGACCACTTCTAACATTATCTTTAACACCCGGGAGTGCCTTAGAATTTTGTACCTACAGGCACCCAACATGTAAATGCAGCCTTGGATCCATTTGTTAGTTCATCCCTGACAGATCAGTAGAAAACACACAAACAGTCATACATTCTCCAGAGATAAAAAAAAATATTCAGTATTGGCAGGGTTTAGTGTCTTAAAATATGGCTAATTAATGCTGTAGTTTCAACTTGCTAGAACTGCCACAGTCAACTTTAAAGGAACTGTATAGGGTCAGGAACACAAACATGTATTCCTGATCCTATAGTGTTTTATCCACCATTTAGGTGGCTTGCCTCCCCTTAACCCCCTTAGAAAATTGTTGAAACTCACCTTATATCCAGCACCACTCAGGTCTGCCTACACTTCCCATGCCCCCAATCCGCCTCCTTGGTGACATTATTAGAATTTCAGTTTTTTAACCAATCCAATGCTTTCCCATAGGAAAGCTGAAAACGGCAAGGATATGGGATGGGGGCAGGGCCACATGCTGTTTTGGCCAATCAGCACCTGCATCTCTATGAGGAAATTTCAACGTCTCCATGCAGAGTGTGGAGACGCTGAACGGCAGTGCTGTCTACTGTGCAGCACTGCCCCAGGTAGCACCTCCAGTGGCCATCTGAAGAGTGGCCGATTGGAGGTGTCCCTAGGGCAGATTGGAGATGTCCCTAGCAGATTCTCTGAAGACGCAGTGTTTGCATGAAAATGCCTGAAGGCAATGATTATATTCACCAGGACAACTGCATTAAGCTGTGGCTGTTCTGGTGACTTATAGTGTCCCTTTAAGCCCTATTATTTTCTATTACAAATGTCTATTACAACTATTGTGATGAACTCACTCATAAAAGACTATGATCCACTAAGCTCCTACCTCCCTGTCTAGTTTCCTACCCTTTGCTCCCCTTCTTGAGAGCCGGAGTATCCAGACACTATCAGCGGGACCAAACTGCAACTGCTCTGGAACTCTGACCCTGGCCACTTGTTGCAAGATTTAACTTCACTTTTACCATTCTCCCAGCAACCTAGAAGAGTGCTTCTTGTAGGGAAGCGTCTATCCCCAGAACTGAGCAATTGCTCCCTGAAACCACCAGGTAGCTCTTATTCGCCACAGAGATATTGCGCGCGGTAAATTAATGAGGATTGACCCCGACCCCATGGAACTCTTTACGGCCAAGGTTGTTGTAGCATCTGGACAATTGACTGTGTTGCATCTGGACAATTCTGTGGATTCCAAGAGCTAGGAGCTTGATGATATGCAGACCTCCCAGGAAAATTAACAAATGGAATGTCTTCCTAGCAGCAGTTATAGTAGCAAAATGGCAGCCAAATCCATACTAATATGTATGTTTCTGAAATTATTATCGCCATTTATATAGCGCCAAGAGATTCCGTACGCCTTACAATATTATGAGAGGGTGGATTTAACTACAAATAGGACAATTACAAGAAAACTTACAGGAACGATAGGTTGAAAAGGACCCCGCTCAGACAAGCTTATAGTCTATAGGAGGTGGGGTATAAAACACATTAGGACAGGAAATAGACAAATAGAGGAGAGAGTAGAGTGCTGCCCTTTAGGATATAGCAAGAGACAGGTATGTAAGGTAGAGGTTACTCTGGGAGGCCATAAGCTTTCCTAAAGAGGTGGGTTTTTAAGGCACTTTTTAATGATTGAAGACTAGGAGAGAGTCTGATGGTGGTAGGCAGGCTATTCCATAGGAAGGGAGCCACCCGCGAGAAGTCCTGCAAGCGTGAGTTAGCCATATGGGTGCGTGCAAAAGAAAGGAGAAGGTCACGGGCAGAGCAGAGAGACTGAGGTGTAAGAGGACCAACTAGAGAGGAAAATCAATCTGGCGGCAGCATTCATTACAGACTGTAGAGGGGCAAGACGGCTTTTGGGAAGACCAATTAGGAGAAGGTTACAATAATCCATACGGGAAATTACTAGAGCATGGACAAGCTCCTTGGTAGTTCCTTGTGTAAGAAAGGGGCGGATGCGGGCTATGTTTTTAAGAGGTAATCTACAGGCTTTGGTAACATACTGGATGTGAGGCTCAAAGGTGAGGCCAGAGTCAAGTATGACGTCAAGACAGTACGCTTGCAAGGATGAACTTATGTGGATAACACTAACTTGAAGGTAGAACGAAAGAGGAGGATCAGTATTAGGAAATGGGAAGCTCCAATGGCCATGTAGTATATATAACGAGCACTTGGACAGCAAATTTAAAACAAAATTGAATGCTACCGAGCTGCGCACCATAAAAAAAGGAGGAGGTGGCAGCGCTACAGACTGACCTGAATACCCTGGAACAGAGGATGGATGTAATGGAGGCTGATCGCTTGCACAGTGAGCAGAGACAACAAGCCGCGGACCTTGCGACCACGAGGCAGGGCAACATTCTCCTGGATCTACGCCGGCAGATTGAGGATTTGGATAACCGGGGCTGGCGAAATAATATCAGGGTCCGGGGTCTGCCAGAGGCGGAGGGAGAATCGCCGCAGGAGATGCTCACAGGCCTGTTCACCCACATACTAGGGGACAACGCACCGAGTGATTTCGGTATCAAACGAGCTCATAGGGCACTGCGAGCCCCTAGGAGAGATGGCCTACCCCGGCATGTGATCTGTGCCTTGGCCTCCTTCCCACTCAAAGAAGCCATTATGCAAGAGGCCAGAGCGCAACAGAGGATTACGTTCATGGACGCCCAGGTCTCCCTGTACCAGGACCTTTCCACGGTTACGCTGGATGCCCAAAGAGCCCTGGGGCCACTTACCCGGATGCTCGATCTCATACACCCCAACCAGGTTGGCTTTATTCCCGGGAGGGAAGCCCGGGACAATACAATTCGAGCCCTCAATGTGATCCACGCAGCGACAGCGAATAGGCGAGAGCTGGTGCTTCTTTCCACGGATGCCGAAAAAGCATTCGACCGCGTGGACTGGACGTTTCTCATGGCATCACTACGGCACATGGGATTTGGACAGTATATGCGCACCTGGGTGACGGCCCTCTACACCACACCAACGGCACGGATAAGAGTCAATGGCGCACTGACGGAGCCGTTTAACATCCGCAATGGCACGAGACAGGGCTGCCCCCTGTCCCCCCTCCTGTTTACCCTCACTCTAGAACCATTCCTGGAGGCGGTCAGATGGGATGGGAGTGGGCTGAGGAGAACACTGAGTAGCGGCTTATGCGGATGATATGCTCTTTTTCTTAGACCAACCCCGGGTTTCAATCCCGAATTTACTAGAGGCGCTCAAGGAGTACTCCGCCGTATCCAACCTCGCACTCAACTTGGAAAAATCAGAAGTGATGCCGTTGACCTGAGATGCCACCATGCCGCAACATCTACAAACGCACTTTCCGTTCAGAGTCTGCCCAACGAAACTCAGGTACCTGGGAATCTGGTTGCCAAAGGAGCACATGCACATATATCCACTGAACTTTACACCCCTCCTCACGACCCTACAAAGGAACCTGAAAAAATGGACATCTCAGTACATATCATGGTTTGGTCGGATTAATGCTATAAAGATGAACGTTATGCCACGAATTCTATATTTGTTCCAGATGCTGCCTACGACCATCCCGCGGTCGTTCTTCCAAACACTAGCAACCACTATACGGCAATCTGTCTGGAACCAGCGACAGGCACGAATTCGTAAGACGATCTTGGAGCGGCCGAAAAACGCAGGAGGAACGGGACTACCGTCGGTACTCTCCTACTATCAGGCGACGCACCTATGCCGATTGGTGGACTGGCACGCAAACCCGACCACCAAACAATGGGTAGAAATGGAGACGCAGCAGACGCAGGGATGGATCCCCTCCCTGCTGTGGCTGGGCGGCACAGTATTGGGAGATATGCGCACAGGAAACCCGATGATCGACTCCACACTGCGGGTCTGGTGTAAGATAAGATACTCCAAACAACTCACTACGTCACCGATCCCGCTTACCCCCATAACCAACAACCCAAGACTGGCGGGAGGACTAAAACCCGCAGCTCTGAAGAACTTCCCGGCGTCGGATTGGACATACCTGCGGCAATGGTGCACTGACTCAACACTCAAACCTTTGACGGACTTGATCCCAGACAGTAGACCGACGAGACTGGATGAATTCCACTATCATCAACTACGAACGTATTACACCTCCCTAACGGGAAAGGATCATATACACCGACCGATGCTACCCCTGGAACACTTATGTACGGACAGGTGGCACCTCATGCACGGCGTATCAACACTGTACGCCATACTGCAGCAGCGGGAAGGCGGGAGCCCCTTGGGCTTCACGGAACGCTGGGAGCAAGAGACAGGAACGACACTCACGGACTCCGAATGGGATAAGATTTTCCAGCTGACACACAGGGGGAGCATATGTTCCAAATACCAGGAATGTAATTATAAAATTCTGACCTGCTGGTACAGGACCCCAGACATCCTCCGCCATGTACACGAGTCTATACCCGGTGAATGCTGGAGATGTGGAACAGAGCCGGGCACGAGGCTGCACATCTGGTGGTCGTGTTCACTTATCGAACTATTCTGGCAGCAGGTCCATCAAACAATTAGAGAAATCGCTGATGCAGATCTACCGCTACAGCCCCTGACGATGTTGCTCAATCACACGCAAACACCGTTGCAGAAATACAAAAAGGGACTGACCATACACTTGCTCACAGCAGCGAAAACACTTATACTGACACACTGGAAAAGCCGCACGGTGCCTACCTTCCAACAATGGGTAGACAGGGTGGTAAATATCTATAGCATGGAAATGATGACGGCCTCCCTGCAGGGACGAGAGGAAAAGTGTGCTACAACCTGGTTTCCCTGGATTGACTACATGGCCAAGAGGATGGTGCGGGGCGGCGCACAGGGTGTGAAAATCACAGTGAGAAGCACGGAAGCGCCTCTAGCGGCTGTCAATGAGACAGCCGCTAGAGGAAATAGGGGAAGGCTTAACCCATTCATAAACATAGCAGTTTCTCTAAAACTGCTATGTTTATGAAAAAATGGGTTAACCCTAGCTGGACCTGGCACCCAGACCACTTCATTGAGCTGAAGTGGTCTGGGTGCCTATAGGGGTCCTTTTTTACTAGTCAATTGTCACTATTATTTTTTAGGTCCTTTCTTTCCCCATTCTTTTTCCATCATGCCAGTTAAGCTCCAAAAAGACACATTATATACAGGGGCGTTTTAGCCGCGAGGCAAACAAGGCATTTGCCTTGGGCGACATTTTTCAGGGGGCGGCAAAAAACGCCGCCCCCCAAATGCCCAGGGCAAATGCCTTGTTAGCCTTGCGGCTAACAGACATGCCGAGCGGGCGGGCGGCGCTGGGCGGGGGGCTGGCGAGGGAGCTCTTCCTCTGAGCTGTCCGCTCAGCTCCCTCGCACGCCGAAGAGTGAGGCTGGGAGCCGGGTTGATGACGTCATCTTCCGGCTCCCAGCCTCACTCTGCAGCGCGAGGGAGCTGAGCGGACAACTCAGAGGAAGAGCTCCCTCGCCAGCTGCCCGCCCAGCGCCGCCCGCAGCCACTGGACCACCAGGGAGATAGAGAACCCCCCCACCCCAGCATTCCCAAAGGTAAGGGGGGGGGTAAATAAAAAAATTAAAAAAAATTGTTAATGTGTGTGTGTGTCTGACTGTGTGAGTGTGTCTGCTAGTGTGTGTCTGTTAGTGTGTATGTGTGTGTCTGACTGTGTGTGTCTGTTAGTGTGTATGTGTGTGTCTGACTGTGTGTGTCTGTCAGTGTGTGTGTCTGTTAGTGTGTGTGTGTGTGTCTGACAGTTTGTGTCTGTTAGTGTGTATCTGTGTGTCTGACTGTGTATGTGTGTGTGTCTGTTAGTGTGTGTGTGTGTGTCTGTTAGTGTGCGTGTCTGACTGTGTGTGTTAGTGTGTGTGTGTCTGTTAGTGTGTGTGTGTGTCTGACAGTTTGTGTCTGTTAGTGTGTGTGTCTGACTCTGTGTGTGTCTGTTAGTGTGTGTGTGTGTCTGTTTGTGCGTATGTGTGTCTGACTGTGTATGTGTGTGTCTGTTAGTGTGCGGTGTGCGTCTGTTATTGTGCGTGTCTGACTGTGCCGCCTGTTGCGTGTGTGTGTCTGTTAGTGTGTGTGTGTCTGTTAGTGAGAGTGTGTCTGTTAGTGAGTGTGTCTGTTAGTGTGTGTGTCTGTTAGTGTGTGTGTGTCTGTTAGTGTGTGTCTGTTAGTGCGTCTGCTCTGTGCGTATGTGTGTCTGACTGCGCGTGTGTGTGTCCGTTAGTGCGTGTGCGTCTGTTATTGTGCGTCCGACTGTGCCGCCTGCCAGCGTGTGTCCGGTTAGCGTGCGTGTGTGTCCGCTAGCGTGTGTGTCCGACAGCTCTGTGTCCAGTGTGCGTCTGACCGTGTGCGTGTGTGTGTCCAGCTAGTGTGTGTAGTGTGTGTGTCTGTTAGAGTGTGTGTGTGTCTGTTAGAGTGTGTGTGTGTGTCTGTTAGAGTGAGTGTGTTTGTCTGTTAGTGAGTGTGTGTGTGTCTGTTAGTGTGTGTGTCTGTTAGTGAGCGTGTGTGTGTCTGTTAGAGTGAGTGTGTGTGTGTCTGTTAGAGTGAGTGTGTGTCTGTTAGTGAGTGTGTGTCTGTTAGTGAGTGTGTGTGTGTGTATTTAGAAGGCGGGGCGGGGGGAAGGGTTGGGTGGGGCTGGCACGTGGGGGGGGGAGGTGCCTGAGTTTTGTCCTGCCTAGGGCAGCACAAAACCAGGATACACCACTGATTATATACGCTGAAAACAGGCATCCTGCACAGTACAGGCATCTGTAGGCAGACTCCTACTCTGGCTAGTGGGAAATCTGAAAGGATATCCATGTACTTGCCTATGCTGCGTACTAAAGGATTACTTCAAGCACCATGACCACTTCATTGATTTAAAGTGTTCATGGTTCCTGGAGTCTGTTTGTGCAGCATTTTGCTTTGAAACACTGCACATACAGAGATTAACCTCTTAGCTGCCGGAGGTGTAACTCCACAAAGTTCCAAGCTGGCTAATATGAAACCTGTGCAAGAATGGCATCCATCCCTTTGTCCATCTTCCCTGCCCTCCCTTCTCCTTTAACGGATATGACAGGCAATGAGGATTTGGGAGGGGGAGGCAGATCACCTTAGAAAGGGTTACTCTAAGTAAAATAAGTGTTTTATGAAAACACTGGCTTTGAGTTGGAGTAACCCTATTAAGCAGCTCTGTCAAAGCAACATACTTTCTGAATAAAGAGCAAAACCTTTATAAAATAATCATACTGGCTGCATCAGAATGTCATAGAAATTCCAATGCAGTTAAAAGATATAAGACATAGTAGATACTACTGTATTTTATGTACAAGCCTGAAGTTTTCAAAACTTGAAATCAGAACTTCTTATGTCACGTTTGTTTAACTTCAGGTTTGTACATAAAACTAAGTAGTCCTACTGTGTTTAATGATATCCAAACAAGTATCTGCTGGTCCTGTGGGGTTCTTCCTAGACCGCTGTGCTTTTGCTACAGTGTTCCTTGCACACCTCAACAGGCTGATAGCCAACCTACCTAAACACTTCCTGAAAAATAGTCTATATTCTCTAGGTTCCCCTCATGCACAGTGTATTTAATCTACAATTTTGTATCCCCTGTTAGAGCCTGCAGCACTATATATATCCAGGGCCGTCTTTAATATCGATTGGACCCTGGGCAAGCATTTGCTTGGGCCCCCTAAACCTGCCCTTCCCCACTCCCCCGTGCCCCCCCATTCTCAACCCCCAGCTCCCTGGCATGCAATCAGGGCCTCCACCCCAACCTACTGATAGAACTAATGTAGAGAGGGCTGCAGTGCAAGAATTGTTTTCTCTCCAATAGCGCAAGAGTGGAGAAAAGTTAGATACCCATCTGTCGTACAACTTCCACGATGGGGATCCACCGTTTGGCCATTCTTGTAGGGTTGTATTTGTGAGCAGTGTTTGTTAATTTGAATGTAAGCATGTTTTTGTATAGAGTA